CAGCTTAAGTCTTAGATTTTCCAAATTTATTCGTGCGATAATATTTGTATAATTTGTAGTTGGACTCGTGTTGCTGTGCTATATGTCATTAGAATGGAAAGAAACGATTTAATTATGCAATTATGATGATTTCATTGAAGAAATAAGGTATCATGTGATTAAATCTACCATTCGGCACTTCTGGTTTATGAGATTTGATCACATGCCCAACCCATATTTACATCCCGAAAAAAGTTTTAAAATTATACCTTATTACTTATATTTATATTTGTGACTGATTTTTAACAAATATTTTAGTACTAAAGTTTTAAAATCATGAAATGACTTTTCTTTCAAACCGGTCAACCACTTTTGACGTCACCGTAAAATTATTTCGATCGAATATGACTAATCAATGAATTTATGTTCAGGTGACGAACAGTTTATACACAGAATTAAATACGCTTTGCTCAAATAATGTTATATTAAGATGAAACATTTGCAAATGTAAATATCGTGTTATCATATACACAATATATTTAGTTCAGTTGTATTTGTTCCATAAAATAGTGTTGTTTAATCTTTTATATCAACCAGCTAATTTTGGTGTCTTTGTTTAATGTTGTTTGAAGTTAACCTCTATAAAATTATATAAAATAAGCAAAAACAAATAAAAGGGCTTTGAAAGTTGGAGGTTATATGTGAAGTCATAGGGAAGGTCAAGGTAGAAGATTAATGCAACGGGGGAAAGCCCTGAAGGTTCATTCAAAACTCGAGTTTCGAATTTTGAGATTCAAATTCTAAATTGACCAATCATAAAGCTGATTCAAGATTCGATTACTCCCCTTTGCTTAGCTTTGACTATCAAGAGACGGTTACATGAAATATATGGAGATATATTTTTGTTTTTGCATACTCTCCTTTTGCTCTCTCTGTGAACTTGGACTCAATGATTGCATTCATAGCACTTTGTACCTTGAAAGCAATTCGTTTTTTCACAGTGGCACAGATCAAACATCTACAGTACTTAATCTTGCAATAAGTATACATATTAAAGATTGTGCAAAAGGGTTAACTGATAGATTTTAATGAAAACCTCGGGGTGGGGGAGAAATTCAAAATGGCTAAAATTGCTGATTGAGGATTATTTAAAGTTTTTAGAAAATAATTTTGATCAATGTATTTACTAGCATAATAAAACTTGCTTCAAATTAAACAGAGCTGATTTACTTTATTTGTACATTTTTACGCATATAATTACAAAGAACGATATCTCTTTCAAGGGCGTCATGGAATATGTCTGCAAAGCTAATGTTTTTCATAGATCATGTTCACTGAATCTTAAGACAAACAAGCCATTTGATTAAATAACAATGGAAGAAGGAATATTTTATATCAAAACGAGAGAAAAAAATGTCGAGTATTGTTGAGCAAAATACGCTCAAATTTTCATGATTGCATGTTAAATTATATTATATTTACATCAAGAAAATCAGTATCGCAGAATGACCACACAAATTTTGGTACATCAATCCTGATGTATTTTGATTTCAGTTTGCTTGTAGCTGTATATTATAGAGTTTTGAATACAGTATCATGACATCATAAACATGTGTTATATATGATAGATATCGAAACTCTGCCTCTCACAATTCAAAAGACAAATTTTAATTTTTTTTTTTTTTTTTTTTTTTTTTTTTTTTTTTTCTAACGAGATTAAAGAACAATGTCAAATGGACTGTCAAACTGTTTTTAATATCTTATGGTAAACAATGTAAATGCTTAGAAAACGTTACTCACCTCTTTAATGTAAATCATAGGTTGTATATCGGCTCTGTGATCTATTTAGTAAAGAAGGTCAAATGTCAAGTCCAAACGTCACGAGGTGGGTAACCTTGGTATTTTACAAAAGCCATAGTGCCAAGTTACATATTCGTAAACTATAACATCGATATCTATAATTGTTCTCAAAATATAAGGTGTGACAGACGGACACACATAAACAGATGGACAGATAGAGAGACACCAGGTAAAGTGATACGTACATTTTGTAGGTGGTTCGTCTGCTCTGCAGACAACTCAATTGACTGTTTTATCTTAGGAGCAGGGTCAGGGAAAAGTCGTTTTTTCCTAGACATTAAGAATCCAAATTTACTGTTCCCAATCATGTGATGCCTACTTTTATTTCAAAAGGATATTACAAAACTAAGATAAATATATATTAACTAAAATAGATATTGCCTTCCAGGAACTGCCTCTTTTTTATAACATTTATAGGGAATATTTATTTTTTATATGTTTCTTTCATTTATTTTTATTTTATTTTCACTTATGGTAAAGTAGTAATATAAAGAATCCTTCCTTAAGTATGGGTAAACTTGGATGTGTTAAAGTTAAATTTTGAAGATTCATCTAAAGTCGTCTTCAAGAAATTAACATAAAACAAAGACGTATCAGAAGAATAACTCGCTACTAATTCTAGTGCTTAAATAGCTTTGCAGTAACACGGATTTGTTGCCAGTCCAATACAAGTTTAAACCTTGTTACACTTTCATGACGAATAAGGTTTATATTTCTCCTAACCTGCTGTTTATCGTTTTCAAAGATGAACCCAGCCAGTTCTGCGCATCTTGTCTGACAGTTGTTATATGTATCGTTGCTGACGTTCTCTTTTATCCCCCATTGCATTGATGTTAAGACTGAAAACAAAATCAGATGCTAATGTCGTCATTGTTGAATACCTGGTTCAGAAGAAACTAGAACTGTCCAAAATGGACAAATACCCTTCGCAGAGTTATTTTAAGAAAAGGTCACAAGTTTACATATTTTAGGGATTTAAGAGGTGTTCACAATTTGTTTAAAAATTTAGTGAAAATTTATTCACTCATTATATTTTTTTAATGAATGATGAACTAAGGCACAGCCTAATAAAACATGAATAATAATAATTATATTGTTTTTTTAATAGACTGAAAAAATAAATCGCAACTATCTGTCATCGTAAGTCATTATACTTTGCAATTTGTTTGTTGAAAAACAAAATATCATATTATACAATATCTAATTGATCTTGATATAACTCTATACCAAATTCATTTTAAAAATGAGAGGCTATTCTTCCAGTAACTAGGTATTTTAATTTGACAGACTATAAATTAATTGCAATTATGAGAGAGAACAGAGATCTTTAATTTTTCTGCTACATTCCCAGGAGATAAAGATACCACCTGCTAGATCAGAGATGCTCTAACAGGTTCTCACATTGAACTCATTAATCAATATTTAACTAGAAACATATCCACTCATTACCCAAAGGACAAATGGATTTACATTATCTGCTATGTAATGCCCTGTGAGTCTGTAGTGCAATAGAAAATGTCTATTTATGGCATTCTGTCAAAAACAAAGATTTTTTATTTCTTAAATTTTTACAAAGCTGATAATAATGAGAAAAAAAGAACTGTGTAATCTTGATGCAACATTTGTTAATTAGGTAATTACGTGACTCTTAGATTTGTAGGGACTATCTACCATAAAGCTTTTTTGAATACATGTACTTGGTTATTTTTTTTTTTTTAGTTTTAATGAGTGGTTTTAAGCTGCAATTCACGTTTTTTTTTTTTGTTTTTTTTTTTTTTTGTTTTTTTTTTTTTTTTTACAGATGTACGAATTTGCAGTTCTAGATTCTATGTCTCAAACCTACACGAACCAAGCATCGCTGTCAATAGAATTGAAAAAAAATCCTGTCAAATGCAGAAAAGTTATCCAATCCTGATGAAAATATCAGATGCACACCTCCTTATGGTGAATAAGGAGTTTACACATTTTCAAACAAATCCATGCAATAGTCTCCGAGAACAGGTCCGGACAAAATCACGTCTACAGACAGACGGACACGCTGATTCCAATATACCCCCCCCCCCTTTAAACTTCTTTTGCGGGGGGTATAAGTATTAAAAGTCATATATAACTAAATATTTTTATAATAATAAAATAAAAAAAAATATCTCCCATTTGTCCAACTATTTCATTGACAATCTCTACAAGACATTGATGAGATGATTATGGTCTAAACTTGAAATTTTTTACACGTAAAAATTTTGCGATTTCCATGTAAAATAGGGTTTGCGTGGTATTTTTCCTTATTTTACGGATGCATAGTGAAGAATTAGAACTGCGAGCTTTACTCCTCAAATATTTCCATGTTAACAACAACGAATACCAATAAATATAATGATTAATCCTTAACAACATACAAGGGTTTTATTGTATTTGAATCAACAATAACATTACAATAACAGTTTTGTTACGTCATTGATGCTTGTTTTCATTAATAAAGATTTAATGTAAATTAAACACTGACATGCATGAAAACAATTATCTATATGTGTGTGTTTGTGTGTATGTATGTTTCCTCATTTCGCATTCATGAACAGATGACTCTGTACCTAAGAAGATGAATCTAAGTGTGTTTCATGTCCAGTTTCTTGTTTACCTGATTGTGGCCGTTTATTCTGGGTGAAAACAGTGACCCTTGAGTCTGATCCTTCCTTCAGTATATCTCCATGTAAAAAATAGACTGAATGGTTCCCATTATGAATTGCAAGAATATCCTGACTACAAAATTCCAATGACACTAGTTAAAATTGTTATGCATTGCCTGGTCATATGCAGGAGTATGCATATATATGCGAAAGATTTCTATGTATTTAACAACATTAACAACAACAAAAAACCTTACCCGAGTGATATTCCACTGACTGAATCCATGGATTCATCACTCAGTATATTGGTAACGTTCATCCAGCTCTTCATATCTGCTGTAGATTCATTGGTAAAGAAATCCATCCACCAGAGCCACTGCCCATGTTTGTTCAGTGTTAATAATTTCACCTTCAGATAATAGTTATTTATGAAAGATCTACGAAGTCAACTATTTTGGAAAATATATGTGATGTCAATAATTTTTTCTTCATTATTATTTCAATATGAATATGTCACCATCTTTTTAATTTGATACATTACAAACGTACATATTCTGGTATATGGTAAAGTCTTCTGTCCTTCCATTGGTCGATGGCGGGATTTCGCATGATATTCTCCACAAAAATAGCGTTATATTTCCCAGTTGAGTTTGTTTCCCATACCTCAAGGATGTTTGAATTGTTTCCAGGAACGGAAAGCAGTGGTTTCATTTCATAGTCTTGAAGGAAAGTTAATTATATTTTAAATACACAAATTCGGTTCTCTAGAGATGAACCTTCCGTATAGACACTACTCCGTAATGATTAAAAAAATGTTCATGCATTATATGAAGATACTTCTCTTATTTTTACGAGTAACTTTTTCAAGGATACCTGTGTTATAAATCGTCATACAACTTTCCTCATAAGAACACCTTGACTGGTCTACAGCAAAGGTTTGGTTGTAGGTGTCCCCACAAAAACATCGAGCATCTTTCTGTAGGAAATTAAACAAAGCAGCATTAAAATACTATGAAAGCACTTATTTTCTAGGGAATAATTTGTTTTTGTTTTTGTTTTTTTCTTTTGGTTTTTTCCCTTTTTTTTTTTTGGAATGAAGAGACCCACGATGTATTGTCAGAATTTCTAATAATAGAATTATGTTTTTTTAAAACACAAAATGAAATCCCCAGGAAACAATTTTTTTCCTCAAACCACGAAAATTTTATCTCTCTAAAATAAATAATTTTACGATAGTCCTATTCAAATGTTTATCGCATTAACATCATCAAATTTGATAAACTATCTACACTACGAACCTTAAATCCTGCATATTTCCTGCTTTGTAACAGACAGGTCTGTATACATCTGTGAGTAAAAGAAAGATTTGTTTCACCACTGTCTTTAGATATCGACGCATCTTCATAATGAGAGTACTTCTCCATGTCTTTCGTGTACCGATAACACCCTACAAATCCTGTAAAATAGTCATCATTGTTAGATATACATTCACTACAGAGGAACGATGAGCATAAGCACATATTAAAGATGTAAAATTGCGTCTTTACTGTTGTGTACTGTTTGATTCAACAAAATACAAATTTAAGCTGAATAAACTAGTATAATAAATTTCTATCCAACTCCATTTTTCTAATCACCTAATCAAATGCATCCTACTTTGCATGCCAGCGCTCAGATACAAGCAAACTTTAGGATGATGCAATAACTGACATCTTTGAAATGTAACTGTAGCAGAAATGTATAGAGTGAGCGTGTCACGATTACACGATTCTAACACATTTGTAATTGTACGAGGGTTGTTCTGAAAGTTCGTGGACTATGCCAGTCTTTGTTATACTATCTTCAAGAAAGTTAAAATGAGCACATTACCATATGTAAAAAATATTTATTTTGTTGATGTATAAAGTTTCATTTCATGTGCTTTAATAGAATTAATATTCATGTTATTTAATTTTAAAACCAACACGTTTTGTAACCACGGAGCAAACTCAACAACATTGTAACGTCAAAAACACACCGACATGAGGTTCTCAAAAATACTATCCCTATACATTCCACACAGTATTGCTCAACACCAGTGTACTCATCAAAAACGTTTAATGCTGTTCGTTTTATCTATATTGTACGGAAGCCGGTAGATGCCAAGTAGAAAAAAAATATTTTATGTGGCGACCGTCAAATATTGACCTGGCGGCCGCCACGTAAATAACTGGCAGCCGACAGAAACTCATCTGGCGGCCGCCAAATAAATAGATCTGGCGGCTGCCAAACAAATAAATGGCGACCGCCAGATCATTATTTGGCGACCACCGTATAATTTTCTGGAGGCCGGCAGATAATTATATGGCGGCCGTCAGATATTATATAGCTGCAATAATGTAGCCCTCTCCGATTTTTTTTTTTTTTTTTTTGGGGGGGGGGGGGGGGGGGGAGGGCTACAACTCCTTAGGATCTCCGTAATGGTGCAAGTGCGGAAGTGATTCACTACCGCACAGATTTCGGCTCAAATTATCAGTAAGTGGGTATTTTATTATTATATCTTACCTGAACTCATAAAATGTAGTTATGCAAGACATGAATAGGTCCGAAATTATACAGAACAATCCGTATATCGGTTATTTTTCGTGTATGTCAACATCACAACTTGAATTTATCCGCCATGTTTACTGACCTTGATCGATTTTATTTTGGGACAACCAATGAGAATTCGGGATCTAGGGGAGCGGATCGTTTAGGATTTCCCTTATTTTAAGCATAAATACACTGTTTATGAAAAAATATCCCATGGAATGCTTTTATTTATCGATGTTTAGTGATATAATACAACACAAACATTTATCAACACCGACATTTAAATAATCAAGTGTTTCTTAATTTCAAGCGCAAGTCTCAGTATATCACGCGAGAACTGTCATGGCTGCTGAGGAGAACGACTGGTAAACACGCAGATTTATTTTACTTGGTTTTCGCGTATAAAGGGCTATGATGTTGATAGTGAATAAAAATTCCGTCTTGCTGAAAGTAAGTTGAATGCAAAAACAATTTATTTTGCCTGCAGTCGCCCGTATCTATAAAAAATATATTTGCACCATTACGGAGATGCAGTGGAATTGTAGCCCTCTCCTGAAAATATCAGATTAAAAAAATCGGAGAGGGCTACATTATTGCAGCTAGATATTATATAGTGGCCGGCAGATAAGTTTCTGGCGGCTGCCATTATTTATGTTGCATCCATCAGATCTATTTATTTGGCGGACGCCAGATAAAATATTCTTCTACATGGCACCTACAGACTTCCGTAATATTGGATATCACGTATCAGATTATTTTGTATATGTATATCATACTTTACAGATCATGTCATAAAAATAAAACATATCATTTACGAAAAACAAATAGGAATTTTGAGAAGGTAAAAAAAAAATAATAATAAACAAGTGGAACTTGTAACTATTTCTTTAAAGTTCTTTTATCGTTATAACGAGTCTGTATATATTTTGTTACAACGTGTTTAGAAACTCGATATATCGCTTTATTTATTAAATAAATCAGGGTCCGTGGTTGTGACAAAGAGGGATAGTTTAAATGAAACGTTTGAATAAATCTTAAGTTAAGCAAGTACATGTAGTACCTTAGTTTAGAGCGATTTACACAAAATATGATATAATATCAATTGTAAAATATGAAAATGATGGTTTTGAAACTTTTTGAACATATTGCTTGAAGTGGTTTTCCTTGGTTCTGTATTTTATGCATTGAATTCAACACAAGAACATTTGGTACAAATGGCATATTTTGAAAATACTTCTAATCTGCATCTAGTAATATATTTTGACTTTTTATAAGTGGATTATATTTTGAAATAAATACCAATTTCTCGCTGATATTTCAAATACAGTAGTCCGATACAATCAAAGTGCATTAAAACATCCATACTAATGTGTTTAGAACCTTTTATTTGTCGGTGTTCTGCAAGTTATAATACTCGAGGAGTTCGTAGTAGCTCTGGCGAGATTTAGTGAGACTACAGCGAGACTGTTAAAGGATAAGGTAAATTACGAGGGTCGTTCAATAAATAATGCAACAAACAGTATATCATAGTAAATGTAGATCTATTTAATTTTTATTTTTTTCACATTTGAAAAGCTCAATTAAAGAGCTCCACAGAAAAGCCCATGATTTTTCCTATTATCCTCGCAAAGAAATTCTCTTTTAAAGTAAGCATGGTCACTGTACTGAGCTGATAACTGTTTAAAATGATCTTTGCCAAGAAGATGAAAATGAGACGTATGTGAAAACTGTACTTCTTTAAATAAATCGCCGAAGAACTCATGTTAAAGATATGATTTTTATATGTGAAAAGAATAGTCTTTAACGCTCTATAGTTTTCAGATTGATTCAGAAATTGAAAAGTAAAAAAAAGGAGAGTTAAAATATAAAAGAAACTGGCCGATTGAAATTTGTAGGGACACCAAAATTATTGTTGCTATGTGCAACTTGATATCTTAAAATGTCAGATTTACATCGAAAAACATTGCTAAGACAGTAAGCATTTCATCATCACATTTTAATTTTGTAGAACTCTGACACCAGAAATGAATATAATAATATTTCTTTCAGATAGGTGCCTTATTTTTTTTTTAAATTGCCTAAGGGAAAACTCGCATTAAATGTACCAACGGTCTATTTAAAAACATTTTAATTTATAAAATATAAGATTTATCAAATTTGCGCGATGGATGATGAAACATGGGTGTAATTTTTATAGCCACAAAGGAAGAACAATAATAAAATGTAGAATCAATGAAAAAGCTATCGTTCTCATTATTGTAAAGAGAAACAATGGCTCCAAGCCAAGTTTTCGTTTGTGTGTGTGTGTGTGTGTGTGAGGGTGTGTGTGTGTTTTCAAGAGGTCCTGTAAAACATACACACACAACCAAAGGAAGGCCATCAATGGTAACTCTTATGTTCAAATTGCACAGAAGAAAGCTAAACAGATTTCCTGCAAATGAAGTCCAAAGACCGCCCAAGGGTATTCTGGGATCTTTTTATTCCAAAAACGCATGAAAAAAATCAAACGAATATTGTACAATATTAGATATGTCATGGGAATTGATATTCATCAGTGTCTTTGGGGCATCCCTATAGATGAGTATGCTCAGGTTTTCTGGTCATGGGTACAAATACTTAGACATGTGTAAAGGATAACGGGGAATGCTTTGAGGGATCGAACATGTTCAGAATATGTTTAGAATATGTAATTTGTAGATTTTCTATTGCATTATTTACTGACCGACCCTTGTATTCACGAAAGTGTAGCTAGGAAGTGACTAGCACGTGGAGACATGGTAAATAGAATAGTTATCTCTCAGTTTTCAACACTGTATAATATCAGTGGAAATATTCTTTAATCTCTGTAGAAATCATTCATAATTCTTCAATAAGTAGTCTCTATGACAATAATTTTTGCAGTTATGTTTTTTTTTTTTTGACAAACATGCTTCCAGATCTAGAGGAACTATATTTTTGGAGTCAGACTAAATTTACAGATACCAACGTTACCTAAAACCTACAAATCAGTTAATAGAGTTAAATTGCATTAAGGGTTACTACCTATACTACAGGGATTTTATGCTTGGAAAAGAACAAATTCCGCAAGCGGAAAAAGGCAATCATATTTTCATGCATTTCATAGATGAAAAACAACATGTCTATTATAATCCATTATTTTCATGCTCATATTTACAATCAGTTGTTAAATAAACGTAAAATTTCAGGTTTCTAAACACCATTCTGTAAGGCGATTTGCGCCTGTATTCATTTGTTGTACTTTGAATACAAATGTCCGGTGGATTCCCTGACCAAAGACAAAAGATCGCCTCAGATTTTCACGCGTATTGTAATTTAAAACAAAACCTTTGTTGGTCATTTAACTTTGATGCTTTTCGTTCTCTTTATCTGTAATGCGCTAACTTTCTTTGTACATTCTGAAAGTGGCTCACAATACCTTTTACTTTACACTGTACAACTTGAATATTTAAACAACAAAGTAACAACAAATTACATTATCAAGTTTTAAGGTGAAAAACTTCTTCCTCTCTCTATGTTTCTTATCTTTGTAAAGAAAAAAAAAGAAATTATCTTTAATTCGTTTTCTCGCAGTCCCTTTAAAATCGCATCGTAGATTGACCAGAACCACGTGTTCGAAGTAAAATGTAAACACATTCGACAATTGTTGGTAATGAGATCCGCTGTGCGCAATAACAACAATAGCCATATAAGGTTAAAAATGTGTCATTGTAGTAGATATACACAGTTTTTACCAACCCATTAGGTGACTTTGGGGAAAAAGGTCTCTACTGAGTACCAGTGTTTGCCGTAAATTATCACAAAAGAGAAGATTAATTATCATGCCATATTAACTCCCCTTCCTTTCTAAAACCACGAAGGTCTTGAAACTTATTTTCCCACGTTATTTGAGCAAACAAAACAAAACAAAACAAAACAAAACAAAACAAAAAAAAAAAAAAAAAAAAAAAAAAAAAAAAAACAGACTATAGCAATATTCCGTTAACTGCCAATTTTATTGATAAAACCGGTACTACCCTATAACCTTTGAATGAGTAAATATATAAATTTTGTGATCACAGTTTCATTTATTAGTATTTCATGTACATATTCATTTGACAAGAAGGAATTGATGGCGCTATGGCCCTTTGGTCATTTTTTATTCTTACCTCTGAAGCATGGAAAACGATCATTATAACAAATTTCTTAGAAATATGTTTAATTCAATTCAAAGGTTTTCTGTTCAAGTAAGTGAATTATGTTTTCATTCCTCTATGGAAATTTAGAAAAAAAAAATAGGACATTATAAAACTCAAGATAAAAGAATACTTGCCAAAGTTAGGAAAGTACGCTCCATCTGATCCAATTAAACATGAACTCATAATATACACACAAACAAATAAAAACTTGTTTCCTACAATCATGTTCATGATCTTCATCACCTTCTTTACCATCCTTTCTTTTCTGATTTCTGATCCTGGGGCCGAAGTAGCTTAATATTTGTTCCATCGG